AAGGAGCATTAAATGATGATTTAGCCTCCATTAGCACATGAAGCTGATTGTTATTAGGATTGGGCATTGCTCAAGTTTGGGTTTTGTGTGACAATGTATCGTTTTTGCTCCTTGGTTTATTGTAAAAAGTTTGAATTTTGTGACATGGGTTATGATGAACTGGTGAATTTTTTAGCTCTTGATTGTTCTGGTTCAGTGTTTTGGGTTTTGGCCAAATTTAGATTTTCATATTAATGATAAGTGTTTTGGGTTTGCTTAATTGCTTTGTTCTTAGTTTTGCAAGAGATTGGTTGGGGAGGGTTACAATTTGTTTGATCGAACTGAATGTTGTGCATCAGCTATGATGAAATGTTCAAATCACTTAAACCAAAACCCTAAACCCGATTCGCCAAACTTGAACCTTGTAAGCTGAAGGCAATAATGTTGCTACTGATTCTGAGCTCATTTCTTTTTGGTTCTTGATTACTAGGTTTTGGTTTCTTATTAGTATTGCAGAGGACTGATTCTTTTGTAAGTTGAGATTTTAGGTTTGGTGATGGGGGATTCTAATCTAAAAATGTGATCTTGAGTGCAAATGCAATTACTTTTTTTCTCTTACTAGTTTATTCGCGCATCACTGCGCTTGAAGATTGCCTTTTGCTCAGGCTTTTCATTTCGATCGATGCAGTTGTTCAGTAGAAAATTCGGTTCACCTGGTCTTGATTCTCTTGGCTCTTCTATTCTAACAATTCTGCTATGGTTCTTGTGTCCCAGCCAGAAAGTGCGGGGAGTATGAGGAGACAGATCGGTCAAATGCTGATGAAACATCATCAATTAATCAACAGAAATGACCATGCTTTACAGCCCGTATCTCCTACTAGCTACGATAGCTCCCTTGAGGTATTCACATGCAGTCCAAACTCTTGTTTTTCTTGCTGGTAAAAGGATTAAATAGCTTGCCGCAGATAACAGTTCTTTTGAGATTGGTATTGTGATGGATCATTCTGCAGGTGGCTCCATATAATGCAGCAGTGACTCCAGGAAGTTTGTTGGAGTTCCGTGGAAGAAGACGAGCTGGTGAGCCTAACTACAATCTCAGGACATCAACAGAACTTCTTAAAGTACTGAACCGAATCTGGAGCCTCGAGGAGCAGCATTCCGCTAATATCTCTTTAATAAAAGCTCTAAAAACCGAGCTTGCTCATTCACGTGCTCGGATCAAAGAGCTTCTCAGATGCCAACAAGCGGATAGACGCGAGATGGATGATTTAGTGAAGCAACTCGCGGAAGAAAAGCTGTCAAAGGAAACGAAGGAACATGATCGGTTAAACTCTGCGGTTCGATCTCTAGAAGACGAGCGGAAACTGAGGAAACGTTCTGAGAGTTTGCATAGGAAATTGGCACGTGAGCTATCTGAAGTGAAGTCTACATTGTCTAACTGCGTTAAGGAGATCGAGAGAGGAACAAAGTCAAAGAAGATTCTAGAGAGATTATGTGACGAGTTTGCGAAAGGGATTAAGAGTTACAAAAGGGAGATTCATGGTTTAAAGCAGAAGTTGGATAAGAATTGGGAAGGTTGGGACGAAAAAGATCAGATGGTTCTTTGTATTGCGGAATCATGGCTTGACGAAAGGATTCAGAGCGGCGACGGATCAGTGTTGGAGAAGCTCGAGTTTGAGATAGAAGCGTTTCTTAAGAGTAAGCAGAACGCGGATTCTAATGAAATGCCGAAGAATCGCCGGAGTTCACTTGAGTCGGTTCCATTTAACGCCTTGAGCGCGCCTATTTGGGAAGTAGACCGTGAGGAGGAGGAAGATTCTGGCGGAAGCGAGTCAAATTGTTTTGAGCTCAAGAAACATGGGAGTGATGTTGCAAAGCCACCACTACGCGATGAAACGGGGAAACCAGAATTACCAAAAGTAGATATTAGTATGTCTGGTGAAAAACAGAGAAGACGGAGTCAAAGCCCGTCGAGTTTACAAGTGAAGTTCGAGGATCAAATGGCGTGGGCGATGTCTTGTAATGAGAAAAAGCAATCAAGAGCCATTGAAACTGAACCAGACATTGATAAGTCTGCTAAAGAAACGAACAATGTGGTTGGAGAAATGATCAGAACTCATCGGAGGTTATTGTCGGAAACTCGGGGAATCGATGAAGCTTCTTGCAGTTACCCATCTAGGAGACGAGAGAGCCCGATACGTCAATGGAATCCAAGAACCATTACACCTGATTTCAATGCGTCTGAGATTTCATCAGCACAAGGATTAAAGGAGAACACTTTGAAAGCTAAACTAAGCGAAGCGAGGACCAAAAGTTCCCGACCGCGGAATCGGCTATTCAAGGGCTAAAGTTCACAACTTTGATAGTTCCATTCCATGTGTGGATATGTTCAATCTGTAAATCATACAAAATGTTTGTAACTATGTATAATGTATATCTGTGTAGTATCAATTTCATTGTCTCCAAAAATTTCGGATTCTTGATTTTTACATAAGATTCAAGACTTGAGAATTTCCGTCTCAATTCTTAGTCAATAAATAGATCAAAACAACGTCGTATTATGTTTATTCGTGTGCTTATACCATGATACCATCAAGTAATCGTTGTCGAGTCAGAGAGAAGGGAGATGGCAACGGCGTCGTTTAGGTGGATCTTGCAGCTACACAAAGATGTACCAAAAGCGGCTCGATTCTATGCGCAAGGTCTCGATTTCTCCGTCAATGTCGTTACCCTACGTTGGGCTGAGCTTCAGTCTGGTCCTCTTAAGCTAGCTCTTATGCAATCTCCCAGGTATTGATTCAAATCTTGATTAATGCAGATCAGGTGTTCGATCATTTGCCTCAATGAAAACTTTTTCCCTCAGAGAGTAGTATTTCATTTGGTATTTCGATTTACCGTCCCGTATGATTAAAAAAGGTTGATCTTATATATGATTTTGTGTGTTTAATGTAGCGACCATGTGGTGAATGAGAAGGGATACTCTTCGTTACTGTCGTTCACTGTGACGGATATTAATACAACAATCTCAAAACTTATGGAGTTAGGAGCTGAACTCGATGGCTCTATCAAATACGAAGTCCATGGCAAGGTAAATCAACCATGTTCCTGCAATTGCTCAAGTCTCA